TGTTACATTTGTGTTGTTAACTTGTTATCAAGGACTACATACAAGACACAAGTTGTCTTAAAAACTATGGACACACAATTCGCACCCAAAAAAAAAAACTATGGGCACACAGTTCATTTAGATGAAATCCCTTTCATATCTCTCTTGTTTAATATTTTGCCACATATAACAAAATATTGACATGGCACCCTATTTAATAAAAATAGACTCCCATTGGGATTAATCTCAAGATAATTTTTTTTCTACTATATTGTGATAGTTTTCTGCACTCTAACATTGGCGGCTTGGATTGTATTTGAGGTTATATTGAAACCCATGTTTACCCTACGAGTGCTTTGGCTGCCGCAATATGTTGTTGTATGGATGCAAGCATTTCTCCTTCTAACCGTATATTTAGGGGTCCGTCTACTTAGGAATAGGCAGATTCACATCAATCCATAAACTTCTTTTAACATATATGTAGTTCCAATCTCGAAAGAAAAAGGATTTGATCATTTCTACGTCCACTCTATCTATTTTCATTTCAACTATGACTCTTCGATGGTGCCTTTGTTGTAAAACATTATCGGCGGTAGAGAACTCTCCCTCTTACGTCTTTCTCATACACAAACAGATTAAGAGACAAATTTACAAAAGGTAAGTGGAGCCCTTCTTTTTATGGAGTACAATAATAATGAAAGGGAGATTACAACACAGGAGGTACTTTACTATTTGTATCTGGAAAGGCAGGATTCACCATATTTAATAAAGATTAGAAATAAGAAAAGACTTTCTAGGAGCTCGCAAGTATGTTTTATAACAACCCCCGATGAAGATGGCATATAGGAAATGCCGCAGTCACATTAGGAAGGGTCAGCTAATCCCGTATGGCTATCTAGCATCATCACTGTCAACTAGCATTCACTTACTTTTGCTATATTTCCCTTTGCTAGAATATTTTCCCTATACTTTTTTGGTACTACTACATTTTTAATTTCTTGTACATCTAGCAAACACGAAAACCATACTCCTTGCTTTTATGCGTAAAATTAAAGGTTTTAGTTATAGATTATATAAGTTAAATTATATAATTTGGATGTAAACAAGAAGAGCCATAAAAACAGATCTTATGAATCACAAACTGAAAAATATTACTTGGCCTTAAAAAAAAACTGAAAATATTACTTCTCGGGAAAAAGGAACGAAAAAAAAAGAGGAGAGTTTTTGCGCCGTCCCTCTCTCGTGGTGTCCCTTCCCTCGGTCGCGGTTCGCTCCAAAAGCAATGCGCGTCGCGGCTGTTCCTTGAATTGATGGCTCACGCGACCGCCCACGGCCACGACCTCCCCTGCCCGCGGCCGGCGCCGCTCCTCGTCTTCGTCGCCGTCCTCGCAACCACCTACCTCGCCCTCACGCGCCTCCCCGCCGCCGCGCCGCTCGCCGCCCTGATCGCCCCTCATCCCGAGCCCGGCGACAGGGACAGCTGCGCCGGGTTCTACGGCGGCGCGGGGGCTTTGGGGCGCGCGGTTTCGGCTTCCGTTGAGGATTTCGGCGCTGTCGGCGACGGCGTCACGTCCAACACGGCGGCGTTCCGGCGCGCGGTGGCGGCGCTGGAGGAGAGGGCCAGGGCGGCCGGCGGCGGCGGAGGAGCGAGGCTGGAGGTGCCGCCGGGGAGGTGGCTCACGGGCAGCTTCAACCTCACCAGCCGCTTCACTCTCTTTTTGCACGACGGTGCGGTCATCCTTGGTTCACAGGTCCGCTATCTCTCTAATCCCTCTTTCTTTTTCTTCAGTTTTATTTATTCCTTCACCTGTGTGATTCTTCAAATTCGTGGTCCTTCACAAGAACAACGCATTGTAACGTCGTTGATGCAAAAAGAATTCGTTTTTTTTTAGCATTTTAGAGCAAAACTTGCATCCAGGAAATGCATGCCAATGCTCAGTTGCTACGGATGGATAGTGACATTGGTGGTGCAGAAAATTTCAAAATTTCGTGCTCTAGTAGTACTAGTTTATATCTGAAACCTGAGAACGTCCTATAGTTTTCACTCCCAATGCGTACATTGGGATCTCGGTTGTTCTTGTTCCTGTTGGATTGCGCGCATCGTCAAACTTGCAACTTTGGCGCTTGTGCCGTATGTCCCGTGGGAGCAATAAAGAAGGCGAAACAGAGGAGATGACGGGTTGGAGTCACATGCTTGGACGGTCTGCCCCCACATGACCACATGAGACCTTATTCAAAGTCACTGTGCCTTTGCTTTGTCCCCGCTGGCCTTGGATTGGCCCCATTTGATGCTCCTTGTACTTACTTTGCTTCTATTGCCGTCCTATCTGTTTGTGCTAAAGCCAATAAAGGTCACATAAATCTGTAAGTTTGGAGCTTTGTGTAGGAACCGATCCCCATTTTGATCCAACTGATACCAGACAGGTTTAGGACAGATTAATTTGCCTGCCTGAATAACCTACAATAGCACAGCATTCATGTGGAAGGTTCAGTAGAAATTAGTTGCAAAGAAACCATAATGAAGAATAAAGGACATAGCAGTTCTCCTGCTACTTCTACTTTTCAAAAGGAGAACATAATTGCGAGTTCTATTTGGGCACTGCACCTTTGTATGTTTGCTACATGCACCGACAGTGCAGTTTCCTTAATATTTAAGGAAAATCATGCCCGGTTTCCCTAATATTTTGCATGTTTACAGTATTCGAAAATCTGTTTTATGTAGAGGAATTCACTACAGTTTAAAGGAACTGGTAACTGCAGACTGAAGATTGATCTGTGCCGACTTTCATTTTAAGCTCGATAATATATTCCATACATTCATATGGGTGAACTGATACTTTGAAGCTTTCGATTCAGCATTTCCTAAGGAAGTAGAATTGTGTAGTTTATAATATAGTGTAGAATCAAATCATTATGATGACCAACATGATAACATGGGGAAACAGTCTAAGGGGCCCAAATGCTAGTTCTCAATTGAATATTTATCATTTCGCATTTAAGTGGAAGAAGCTCCAGCTCTTCAAAGTGGTGTATGCTGATTATAAAACTGCATGGTATTGACTGGCATCTTGGACTCATGCAGGATCCTCAAGAGTGGCCTCTCGTTGCCCCATTGCCATCTTATGGGCGTGGAAGGGAGAGATTAGGACCGCGCCATATTAGCCTCATTCACGGAGAGGGCTTAAATGATGTTGTTATTACTGGTATGATAATTTTCTATTTCTACATTCAAGTTTCATAAATAAACAAAAATTACATGACAAAAGTTGCAACTGAAACACAAACCGGTACTAGAATTAAGCAAATTTGCATCATTTTACTAAAGAATTAGAATTGATTTTTAACCTGCAAACGACGTTTCACATATTAGGTAATAATGGGACCATAGATGGCCAAGGAAAGATGTGGTGGGAGCTCTGGTGGAATCGAACTTTGAATCACACAAGAGGCCATCTCATTGAGCTTGTGAACTCAACCAACATCTTATTATCCAACATCACACTGCGCAACTCCCCATTCTGGACGGACGGGCATCGGTCTACTGCAGGGTCAGGTTTGCCATGCTTCCCTTGCTACGAAATCCTTTATCGTCTTTGTTAAGTTGCACCAAGTATTGATCAGAGACTTATTATATTTATATATCAGCAACGTGTAATGAAGGATTGACCATACTGGCTCCTTTGAATGCGCAAACACTGACGGGCAGTCGATCAGGTTGGTACGTGGTTTTCTTTTTCTTTTTTTCATCAGTGTCCGCTACATACTTTCCATTTAGACTAACTATGTCAAATGCACCTGCATCATCATGGTTTCCTTCCGACATTTGGGATTTGTGTGTAGGACTACAGTTGTAAATTCGTTGTATGTCAAAAGAAGTGCCCAAATCAGCTTTGCCAGAATATAACCCCATTTTGACAGCTCTCTGATGAACAAGCAGACTCAAGCTCGGAAGTTTTGTTTGAAGACTGCTATATTGAAAAGTGTGTGACGATGCTAGTTGCTGTCAAGAGTGGTTGGGATCAGTATGGGATCTCTATCGGCAACCCAGTTCAAAACATGTCATCCAAAGGGTTTCAGGCACAACTCCAAACATGCTCTGGTGTAGGTTTGGAAGCGAGATGTCCGGAGGCATATACAATGTGCTAGTTCGTGACCTCCATGTATGGAATTCTGCAATCAGCGGTGAGGCTCAAGACCCGATGTAGGACGCGGTGGATACATACACCAATATTACCAAGTGAAGTGTACAATGGAGAAGGTCAAGTACCGATAAGAGTCAGTCGGGGTGGCAGGTGACCATTCGGATGACAAGTATGACCGGAGCGCACTGCCCATAATCAGTAATGTGCTTATCACTGATGTCCGTCGGAGTAGACATGCAGCGTGCACCGATGCTTGAGGCATGCATGGTGCCGTTTATGAGGGATTGCTTCAGAAATGTTACCTTAAGAGGCATAAGGAGGCACGATGGATGGACATTGTGAGTCCGTGTATGGAGAGGCACATGAAGTTTTTCTGCCACTTGTGAAGAGTTCCGGAAGAATGTATCTTCATCTTGGTGTGGCCTTTCTTGACCAAACTTGTATAGAAATCAAGAGTTTTCTTCTTTGTTTTGCTGACACAGGAATACTAGAAATGGGGGATTATTATACTGTGCTCAATAAGGATAGGGCATAGGGTTTTGGGGCACCACCATATAGAATGTTCAACATGTTATCTTGTAACCTTTGTGTTTTCCCTACAGGGGAAAATGGGAAATGAACACTCAATACATGAGAAATGTTTTTGAAATTTTCTACATACTCCCTTTCCGCTAATCTTATTTGATGTTGGGAGTCGTTTCCCCCCAAAGTCAAATTAAGATAAATAAAGGAGTATGATTTACTACTTGTCTCCAGTCCCAGTCCCCTACAACTGATTTACTCTGGAGCAAGCTTACAGTAAGACGTGCCTTTAAAGTATTACCCGTCTTTTTACAAACTTTATATTATTACTTTTAACAAACGTAGCATAAACACAAGGCGGGGATAGCTCAGTTGGGAGAGCGTCAGACTGAAGATCTGAAGGTCGCGTGTTCGATCCACCGCTCACCGCATGCTGTTTTCTTTTATATATACATATGATTTTTCCCTTTTTATGGACAAAGCTTTATCTCTCCTTTTCTTTTGAGGTGAGCTTTATCTGATTCACTTTTCGATTTCTTCTTTTTTTTTATAACACTTTCGATTTCTTCTGATCTGGCGTCACTTTCCATTTCATTTGGCATTTGGGCTGAAGAGCATTCATTTGAGAAGAGTTGTTTTTGTGTCCGTTTTCATTTGGTCAAGATATTATCTTTCGGCAGGTACAAGGCCCCCGTTTTCCCCCGAAATATTTGAGGCTCAGGCACCCAAATTGTGAAAAGGCCTTCCAAACATTAGGAGCTTCGGCATTACTGAAGAGGACAAGTGGAGCCATATCGAACATACATAACAAGTCAACACAGCGACGATGCTGCACTTTGAAAATGTTACATCCATGTTTTTTATCGAAACCGCCGTGATTATACAGATTACAATACATCCCACCGTAACGAGCTTTATCTCCCCCAAACCATGGGATATCAATTGAATCCATTTTGTAATCTTACATGCAAGAATGAAGACCTATACCACCACGAGCAAACAACTGGGCGTCCAGGTCAGCTTGGAACAAGAAATACGTAGAGCCAGCAACTGGAGCCCCAGGCCAAGCTGAGCGACTAGTGCCTTGGCCACTGGAACGAACACGAGTCTTGCACAATTTTCCCAGAGAAGAGATTCAAGGGGCCACCAAAATATTGCCATCTAGGCTCCACACATATAAAACCGGCTGAAAAGTTAAGGTGCGTTTCTCGCAGTTTGGCCCTGGCGCAAAAAAACAGTACTCCCTGCCAATAAACCTACATGATGGAGTGTTCCAGACTGTTAGTCATATATGGCAAGAGCAAGAAGGGGGTGGTGCTAGTAACAACTGTTAATGTAACCTACCAAAACAGAATGCTCCAAGAATTCTCCATGCTTCGTAAACATTGAAGAGAACGATCCCAGCAATAGAGAGAGGAATCTTATTCAGGAGCCCACAAGGCTGTGTTCGAAACAATGTTCGCATCAGAAACACATGGGGGTAGAGAAAACAATAAAGGCGTGCATTTTAGAAAATTAAGTTCAGTGTCTAATAATATGGTGATCCTTAATGTGATGGGTTTACTCAGTCAGCGAATCTTGAAAGTTTATATGTAAACAAATTCGTGGTTCAAATTTATAGTTCGAAATTGAAACAAGTTTGGTACCTATACGTTGTCCGCACTTGTCTGATGAAGAAACCACATCGAAGTAAAGCTAATTGCAAGCCCCAAACTCCACTAGCTGTGATGAACACCAAAAACTTGGCATCTTCAAGAGAGGTCTGTAAGTTCAATTCACAAATACGTTTAAGACATGGAGTAAAGTTATAGATATTTCAACTGAGAGTACTTCATAATGAAGTAATGTGTTGAATAGTAGTAAATAACCCCTAAACATCAATTTCAAATGACTACCTAATGCAGTAATGGAACATCATTTTCATTTCAACATAGCTTCATGGAAACGTTCATGAAGGCCACTACAGAACCTACTTGAAAGTACCAGGAATGACTTGCAAGGCTAGGAAAGGCAGAGCAGACTAAAATGACACTGGCCTACTGTGAAACAAATGGATCAAGCACTTTAAATGTTTCGATCAGGGATAAAGCAGTGATGTTTGGATACGGGAAAACAGTGGGTTTAAATCAGTAGCTTACGTCTCCCAAAGGTACTTCCCTTCGTATAAAACCAAGCACAGAGAATAATTCCCAAGGCAGATGAAAGAACATTATTCAGTAACACCATTAAAAGATCATTCAAATTCCCAGACTTGGTGGCTGCTTAGCACTGTCCATACATGCCATGCTAAGCGAAAGGGGAAAAAACGGACAAGCTGATTTGCTGAAGTAATTTGGGGTATCCCGAAACAAGGGTTCTAACCCTGTAACTTAAATCTACGGGGTAATCATATTTGATTTGCATTTAAGAAAACCGTACCGAGTAGGATGGCTGTCAGAAAACAGTTTTATGCGATTCTAGCCAGGTATAATCCAACTGCATGGAACGACAGATCCTGTTACTCACTCCAGCAACTGCTGAGATTTATCTGCACAACATTTCAAGTAGCTGCAGCGTGTTGCGATGGATCAATACCAATAAACTTCAAGCAAAAAACATTCGAGTCAACACATTTCTAACTTCTGAAATATGCTTGCTACCCATCAATATGAGAGAGCAATCACAAACTTGTGTGCGCCCATGCTGCCTTCTTCAACAAAAGTAGGTTTCCCTCAGATGCAGTAAGCACATTTGCAAACAATTTTTTTGTCTTTCAATGATGGTGCAACATCGCAACATTAAATGTACTTCAAGCTGAAAAAGCCACAGGAGGACAACACCCAGGCAGTGAGGAAATGGGCATGAAGACTTCAAAATTTTGTACATCGAAACTGTCCCTCAACAAGTTGCATAGTGATAGCATTATCATTCACATCTCATATGGGAAATACTAAGTTCAGCATATATACCTATATAATAATTATTACGAGTTAACTAAGCCAAATATCTGTAAAAAGTGGAAAAGCGCCGCCAACAAATGAACCATGAACAGACTCTTGACCTGCCACCGTACGTGATTATGTTGTGCGCATACAATCAACATGATTTTCAAAATTAAGCCAGTTTCAACACACATTTCATAATTTCACTCCCTGATTCTTAATCCAGAATATGATTTGTACCTCTAGTCTGAGTTCACAAAAACCAGGCATTAACCGATCATAGTGTTCATGTTACTTTTAATTTAAACAAATATGAGGATATGATCGGGAGCTATTCCATCATGGAGAGTTACATACGTGCACAAAGAGTAGACCAATGACAATGCATTAAATTCAAGAAGATAATTTGACGTCCAATAACAAATCAGATGAAGGAGCCTTAAAATACACATCACGTACAAACATTACTTGGAACAAAATTGGACATTGAACACTATGCGATGCATACCTAAACTCATGCTTGTGACTAGCATTCCCACAAAAAAATGATCATTCACAGGCAACCAAACTTTGGGGATTTCGAGCTTCCAAGTTAACTGTTC